TTTTGAACGTTTTTGAGAGACAAGCACTGAAATAACACAGAGCTTGAAGTTGCAGCCCAAGGGTCAGATATGAGACAAATGACAAATCTCTTTCTGATGACACAACAGCATGTGTGTGAGGTTGTGTACAGGTTATCAGGCCACACGAATCTGATTTTTGATTTACAGTTCATGAACCTAAGCTATTTCTCAAGCTCACCACTATTATTCATAGGTCACAAATAAAGCCTACAGAGTCTTAAAGAAATAAATATATGTACAGTATGCATGCAAATGTGTGTGCTTCCTATATAAATCTATATTGTGTACACATACACATAAGTATTATGTAGTGCACTGAGGTCTATGTGTATGCGCCCTATCCTGTCACAGTCAGAGCGAAGCATGTTGGTAACCCAATTCTAGAAAACTTTTCTAAAAGAACCTTGATGTGGGGCTCTTCTTCCCAACAATATCTCTTCTAGCTGTCAAAGTCAGTCATTATTTTTCCTATTGACATTCGTCTCTGATATAGCGTGGCTCATCAGCCCTCTCTGTCGCTTCTTTCATGTCGCAGGTTCTACCCCTCCGCCCCCACGAGGAGTTCTGATGTCCTACGATTTTAAGCTGGAGCGTCTTTTTTTTTTCCCCCGTCCCGCCATGCTGCATGAACGTGGGGTCCTTCGCCTCGGCGGCCAATTACAGAGCAAGGTAATGAGCAGCTACGTTCTCCTTACAGCCCAGATTGACACTCTCTCCCACTCATTTGTCAACAAATCAGGATGGATGGCGTGGGGGCGATATTGAGCCGGAGGTGTCGCACTCAGAGACGCGGTTGCCGAGCAGCATCTCCTCCTCGTTATCATTGACAAGTTGTCTGGAGCTGAGAGATTTGCGAATCCTTCGCCTTTGTCATCTCAAGATCATTTGTTCGTGATTCGGTACTTATTCCATGCATAGCGTAACGGTTAGCTATAGCCTACTCGGGTAGACTAAGCCTAGTTTTGGCATTTGTCTATGGACTGCATGGGACTTGCATAACAAATTCAGGAGCTGTAAGTTACACTTAGCGCAAACAAACAAAACTTAGTTTTATGAAAGTCAGGCAGGAAATAGTCACAGATATCAACGTCTTCTTAGGCAGGCCTGTTTTAACCAGCACATTGTTTAAAACACATTACAACAGCATCGATTTAGGTTTAATTTTTTATTTAATTGTTTAATTAATTACTTTCTTTAACAATAATACATTATATTAAAAGTTTTCAAATATTAAGAGTTCTTTAAAGATAGATAAATGTGTGTGAGTGTGGTTTTATAATGCATGTTACTATATATATATATATATATATATATATATATATACAGTTGAAGTCAGAATTATTCGCCCCCCCTGTTTATTTTTATTCCCGAATTTCTGTTTAACGGAAAGAAGTTTTTTTTTTTTCCCAACACATTTCTGCACATTTCTTATAACTGACTTATTTTATCTTTGCCATGATGACAGTAATGACAGTAATGACACTTAACTAGGTTAATTAGGTTAACTAGGCAGATCAGGGTAATTAGGCAAGTTTTTTATAACAATGGATTGTTCTGTACACTATCGAAAAAATATAGCTTAAAGGGGCTAATAATATTGAGCTTAAAATGTTTTTTTTTATTATTAAAAACAGCTTTTATTCTAGCTAAATTAAACTAATAAGACTTTCTTCAGAAGAAAAAATATTCAAATGGGGACTAATAATTCTGACTTCAACTGTATGTACTGTATAGATAGATAGATAGATAGATAGACAGACAGACAGACAGACAGACAGACAGACAGACAGACAGACAGACAGACAGACAGATAGATAGATGATAGATAGATAGATAGATAGATAGATAGATAGATAGATAGATAGATAGATAGATAGATAGATAGATAGATAGATAGATAGATAGATAGATAGATAGATAGATAGATAGATGATAGATAGATAGATAGATAGATAGATAGATAGATAGATAGATAGATAGATAGATAGATAGATAGATAGATAGATAGATAGATAGATAGATAGATAGATAGATAGATAGATAGATAGATAGATAGATAGATAGACACTGAGACTTCTTATATTGTATCTTATATTTAATATATTTTACATTTATTTACTTGAAAAAATCTATTTTATAATATTTAAAAATATAAAAAATTACAAATTTTATATATTTTTAATAGTAATAATGATTATAAGTTATTATAATAACAGTATAAAACGCAAAAATCAGTCCAAAACAAAAGCTTTTAGAAGTATTTTTTCCACATTTTTTAATTGCCTTGGACTGATTTTTGCTGTTTATTCTGATGAATCCCTTACCCCAAGAGCATCTACAGATTATTTAAGCTATTCCTGAGCACTTTTAGTTTGATTTTGGATTGATGATAATAGATTTTCTGATATTTTGGGGGCTTTTTTATGCATGTGTGCTGCAAAATGACCTTTTATTCACATTTGAACACACAGACACTTACTTGATTCTTTGTGCTCCTCTGGGGCAGATGAGCCATCTACCAACAGCCCAGACAAGCCGAAGAGCTTCTTCCCAGCATCCTCCGCTACCTTCAGGGCATTTGGAGAGCCAGCGGGGACACGGGCACCCCCAAAGTCAAAATCTTTTCCCTCCACATCTGTGTAGCGGAGGTGAGGTGAAGCCTCTGGATCCAGACAGCCCTTCAAGCGCTTGGCAGGGAGAAAAGCAGACTGATAAAGCCCTGCATCTCGCTCCTCAGGTGGGGAGGAGAACGGCCGGAATGCCCCCACTGCACCATGATTGAGCATACCCAGAGGTGAGCAGTCAAGGTTGGGTGGAGCGAACTGTGGGTGGAGGTGGAGCAGAGGGGTGGGAAAGTCTCGAGTGGGAAAGCCTCCTTGCCGATGGTACATGGAGGCAAATGTGTACGAGCCGCTGGGAAATGAGAGGTGCATGTCCTTCTCCAGAGTGACTGGCACTCCAAACGGCCGAGGGGGCTGGCAAGGTATGGAGGCATCTCGTCCAGCCTCGGCTGTCGATGCCAGGACCATCAGGGCAGGAGAGGTCAGCGGGCTGGGCATATAGGAGGAGTTCTCCATCTTAAAGGCAGTTCGGTGGAGGTCCATTTGAGCAGCGAACTCAGTGTAATGAGATGAGAAGATGTGAAGGAGACTGAGCTCAACGATTATAAAATGATGCCTCACAGACCAGTCATCCTCTGATGGAAGGCTGTGAAGGAGAAGAAGAACAGCATGTCAGTATGAGCCTGAAAAAGTACACAAGTATGTCATGGCAATTTTCTTTTTTTTAAATGTCATATATGGAGAAAGTAACATTTAGCGATTAGAATAATTAGACCACAAATGAGTCTTTAAATAAAGGTCTGCTAGTATGTGATATGATTATGTGAATTTACACAATGAGATGTTATTAAAGAGATATTCATTCCTTCATTTTATTTTATTTTCGGCTTAGTCCCTTTATTAATCAGGTGTCGCCACAGCATTATCCAGCATTTGTTTTACACAGCGGATGCACTTCCAGCGGCAACCCATCGCTGGGAAATATTAAAGAAATAGTTCACCCCAAAAAAATACAAATTTACTCACTTTTAATCACCCTCAAGTGATTTCAAACATTTATGAGTTTCTTTATTCTCTTCTAGAAGAAATGTTGAAGAAAGCTGAAAACCTGTAACCATTGACTTTCATAGTAGGAAAAACAAATAATATGGAAGTCAATGATTACAGGTTTTCAGCTTCCTAGTATATCTTCTTTTGTGTTCAATAGAAGAAAGTCAAACAGATTTAAATCAAGTAGAGCGAGAAAACAATGACAGATTTGTATTATTTGGATAAACTATCCCTTTAACAAGTTGCTTGCCCTGTAATATAAAAAAGGTTGACCTTGGAATAATGCATTTTTATTTAGTAAACATAATTGCATGTTTGTTTGTTTTTTACAATGTTGCTAGAGCATTTCACTGCCTTTTTGCATTAATCAATTTTAAACAACACTGAAAATTTATTTAACAAAATTAGTATTGTTTAAGAAGTAAAAAAAAATCACTTGTGTAAAATTCTGATATTACTCATGGTTTTGAGTTAGAACATCCTTTTGAGTTTAAAGAGTTAAGAATAATGAAAACACTTGGTGTTATTTGGATTGTATATTTTGAATGCAGAAAAAATAAAACATTATTATATGAACAATTAAAGAAACCTGAACACATTATTTTAAAGGACGAGATAATTACTATGCGGTCAGTCATACGAAGAAAATCAAATAATCAACTTATTATATAAATAAAAATAGCAACAAGATAATTACTAAAACAAAACTTCAAAGTTTAGATTAAGGTAATTTAAACGCTAATTACAAACTGACTAAAATTATTTGTGCATGCCGCTGTTTTTATAATTTAACAAAACTAATAAAATCCATTTTTATAACTTTCGCACAAGTTAGTGATTATCTTCACTACAGTGAACTCTGCTTTTAAATAAGGCTTTAAAGAAGAGATACAGAGTTCAAAATCTGCTTTTGTTGAAAATGTTCTTTCGGTTTTTGACACGATAAAATTAATTCAGGAGTTTAAGTACAACTTTCTACTCAAAGGCTATATGCATTGTTTAAGACACAAATGTAGTCCTTAATTCACTGTAAAATGTGATTATGACTAGCAAAAAAAGTCATTCCTACTTTTCTTTAACACATAAATTTGACATATCATATACAATAAAGTTTCACTACACTCTGGAAAAGTTTACAACGTTAATAATAATCCGCACGCCACAACAAATGTTAAAAAACCTCCACCATGCACAACACAAAAAGAAAGTCTTTCGACTCCCCAGAAAAACACATTGGAAAAATTTAATAAGTTGTAGTACTACTCACAATATTGTAGTCAAACATCTTATTCTCAGTCGCAGATAAAACTGTTCTTTTATCCAAGGTCAAGTCCAGATTATGTCAGTGGGAAAATATAACTTAAAGAGAAATGAGCGTAACTTAAAGAGAAATGAGCGGTAAAATTGTTATACAGTTTTGACAAGAGTTTAGCTGTTTAGCGCTGTGATATAGATTATGCAGATGCGCGTGATGTGTCAACATCCGATCCGCGCGCACCTCTGTTAATGCGCGCGAGCCGCTCACTGTACCGCCACGCGCTCGCTCGCTCTCTCTCTCTCTCTCTCTCTCTCTCTCTCTCTCTCTCGCTCTCTCTCTCTCTCTCTCTCTCTCTCTCTCTCTCTCTCACACACACACACACACACTCCTTACAGCTCGTGCTGCTCTGTTAACTTTAAATTTATCATCCTCTACCTCCCAGTTCGACTTGGATATTTTGTCAAATGTAAATCTCCATTCTGCGCCTCAACTACAGTGAATGATGTCAGTGCATATGAGGGATATGAAAGACCACCAAAATATTTCCAATGCTTCTAACGTCCTTTTTGCATCGGAATTGGTTAGTTGGGACTCTCACACGCTGGCACGGGAGTCCACCTACTGGTTAAACATCATATAGCACCTTTAGCGGTAAGGACATTCAATTCGCATCATCTAACAGCTTTCAAACTGTCTAAATTATTACAAACAGCGAAAGTGTCAATTATGACGACATTTTGGCCTGTTGATATCAAGACTGCACAGATGCATCTTCTATTATGTTATAATTACTCGACCACCCAAAGGCACTCATACTGGTCCGAATGGCTAATGGCAATTACATTGTGGTACGGTCTGACTTGACATGATGCCAACAGGACTCATGCATTCAAATCATAAGAGATATATATATATATATATATATATATATATATATACACACACACACACACACACACACACACACACACACACACACACACACACACACTTACAATAGATAACATTTCAAGATAACATCTAATTTAATAATTTAAATATGCATTATTATTTAAGCATCATAATATCTTATGTACATATGCATTATACAATGAAGAACTAAAATATTAGACAGGACAAACAAAACCAAACATACACATACTCGCATAGCCTATTTGCTGAAGATTTGCTCAGCCTGTCTCGCATTGATAAAGTGTTTGTATAGAGAGGGAACATAAAATAAAGTTACTCTCTCATAAAGAACTGAGGTATTAGCTTGAGTAAATTAAATCACAGTTTAATAGAGGTTTCAGACTTGCTAATTATGACTTCCAAGATCATTAACAAAGTCTTTTAAGTCTCTTGCTTCATAATCCAAGTCCTTAAATGAAAATAAACGAATAAATCTGTATGCTAGAAGGCACGTTTTTGAATATTGAGTCTTACTCTTCTTTTTGAAACTCATTTATTCAGTGCTGAATTAAATTAGTTCAGTTAATTCTGCAAAGCCATGAACCTAATTGGAGTTTAATTGCTGTTTTTAAGTTTCCGGGACAAGTGAAGGAGCGCATTTTTAAAAGTGGATAAGATGCACCATATAATGCTGTGGACTAAAAGAAACCTTTATATTAAGTGTATATAATCATATAACATATATTTAAAAAAAGAATTACATATATCACATAAAATATGTAAGTTTTCTCTCTCTCTCTCTCTCAGATAGATAGATAGATAGACAGATAGATAGATAGATAGATAGATAGATAGATAGATAGATAGATAGATAGATAGATAGATAGATAGATAGATGTCAGTATTCAACAATTCAACAATATAATTAATATATATATATATCCTTAGAGTGTATTTTATACTTTTAGAGTGACTTGAGGATATTCAGATTCTTGCATTGACAGTGGTTGTTTATTACAGCACCAAATGCCTAAAAACTTAATTGGTGATTTATTTTCAAACATGATTCACATCATAGTTTTCAGATTTTCAGAAATCAGATTTTTTTGATTATTACTCCTGTTAAAGCCATCTTTTTCAGAGCTTCGGACAATACCATAAATATCGTACACTCAAAAAAGTATTTTTGCTACTTGCTCAAACTACTTATTAAAAATTAGCTGAATCAACACAATTCTTGACTTATTTTGGGGTTGGACAACTTAATTGTTTTACGTTCAATCCACTTAAATTTGTAAAAACAAGTTAACTTTATCAAGTTTTGTAGGTACAACATGAAGAAATTGTGTGGAACCCAGCCTTTTTATACACCCTGCATTTTACCAAGGAACTTTTGTGTGGGAGTTACAGTTGAAGTCAGAATTATTAGCCTCCCTTTAAATTTTGTTCTCTTTTTAAATATTTCCCAAATGATGTTTAACAGAGCAAGGAAATTTTCATATTATGACTGATAAAAATGTTGTTTTCTGTAGAAAGTCTTAACCTAACTAACCTAGTAAAGCCTTTAAATGTCACTTTAAGCTGTATAGAAGTGTCTTGAAAAATATCCAGTAAAATATTGTTTACTGTCATCATGGCAAATATAAAATGAATTAGTTATTAGAGATGAGTTATTGAAATTATTATGTTTGGAAACGTTTTGAAAAAAATATTCTCTGTTAAACAGTAATGTGTATGTATATATATATATATATATATATATATATATATATACACACACACACACACACACACACACACACACACACACACACACACACACACACACACACACACACACACACACACACAGTGATAAAAGCTTTAGCAATTAATTGCAACAAGAAAATTTGATACCGTCAGATGCCCTTATATATGCAGTACAGGGAAAAAGCAAGGAGAACAGAAAGAAGACATCGGTGGCAGACTCGGGATGGAGAACTGTAGTGGGTGTCAAAGTGATGAGCTGTCTGCGCTTCCTCACCATCTGTGCATATGTGTGCGTGTGAACGGAGAACTCCCAACACAGGCAGAAGGCTTGAGTGTGACAAGGAATACAGCGAGACGCATTATGGTGTCCATCATTGATCGCTTCCTCCCAGGAGTCTTGGCGCCTGCTACCAGGAAACAAAAGGTTAAAATATGATACTCCCCTGTTCTCTCCCCCATCAGTGTCCCAGCAGCACCTCTGTTTACAAATCCACAGCGCGTTCTCTTTCACTCAGAGTATCCTGCAACCGCATTTACACTACAGTGTTGAAACTATAGTCTTACGATATGACTTCATACATGTTTAAAAATGAAGGCTTTAAATGGGAGTTTTTCAACAGTGACACAGAAATAAAAATCTATATTTTATTCACAAACCCTTTCAAATGTACAGTTCTAACATGTTTTATGCTTTGTAGAACATTTAACCATAGTATTCACATATGGTCACATTGAAAAAGAACACAGAGTGTAACTTATTTTTCTTTCAATTAAATGATATCATCAAATGTTTTTTTTTCTTCTGAATTTTGGCAAATTTGTGCACTTCGAACGACCAAAATATCCTTAATTGTAATATTTTTTAAATATATATTTAATTTTTTTGTTTTTGATGTTCACATATTCAGTGCTGCTAAAGTTTTAAACCATTCTAGTGAAGTTAATATTTTTTAATTAATTGCCAAAATCGACCAAAGAGTACCAGAGAGATTTATTTATCCCAAAAAAACACAAAATATCAAAACATAATTTTCACATAACTAGGGTCGTAAAAGTTTTTTTAAGTCTGTTTTTACACCATTATGACAATTTTGCAGTCAAATATGACCAAAGAGCAGCAAAGGTTTATTTTTCAGTATTCACATAATCAGTCCTGCAAGAACTTTAAAGAAGTTATAAATAAATAAGAAGTAAATAAATAAATTGTATGGGATATTAGCTTTAGATTTAAGCATTACAATTATTTTTTTGAGTATAACAATATATAATAAATATATTAAATAATAGCTAAAGTATATAATAAATAATAGCTAATATATACAGTATAATAATATACAATAAATATATAGAATATATTGTAACTTTCAAATAAATTTCCATTAGTTAATGTTAATACATGCATTTACTACCATGCACAAGCAATGAGCAATGCATTTATTAGTGTTTATTCATCTTTGTTAACTTTAATTAATAATAATAAAGTTTTTAGTTTAATCCCTTAATGCAAAAGTGGCCATATATATGTATAATTTTTTTTCCCCGCCACATAGCTAGTGCTTTAAAAGTCACCATGTTTTATGCCAGGGGTGTCAAACTCAGTTCCCGGAGGGCTGCTGCCCTGCACAGTTTAGTTCCAACCCTGCTTTAACAAACTTACCTGTAGGCTTCAAACAAGCCTAAAAGACTCATTTAGTTTGATGAAGTGTTTTTAATTAGGGTTGGAACTAAACTGTGCAGAGCTGTGGCCCTCCAGGAGCTGAGTTTGACACCTGTGTTTTATACCATTCTGATGACAAATTTGCAGTCAAATATGACCAAAGAGCACCAGAAGTTTATTTTTCAGTATTTACATAGTACTGCAAGAACATTGGAGAAGTTACGATTTAAAGGAATAAATAAACTTCATGGGAACTATATATATTAAGCATTAAAATATTTTTAAAGGGTATATATATATATATATATATAATAAATAATAGCTAATATATACAGTATAATATAGCATAAAATATAGAATATATAGTATCACTTTCAAATAAGGATCCATTAGTTAATGTTAATTCATGCATTTACTACCATGAACAAGCAATGAACAATGCATGTATTAGTGTTTATTTATCTTTGTTAACATTAATTAACAATAATAAAACTTCCAGTAACTAATATATCAATGCATAAGTTAATGCATTAACTAAACTGAACATATCATGTTTTGAGATAAATAAAGCTCTCAATTACTCTTGTTCACCTTTGACCAAAAAAATTTATAATAATAATAATAAAAATAATAATAAAATAAGTAAAAAAATAAAATAAAAAATAATAATGAAATAAAATAAATAAATAAATAAATAAATAATTTGGTCACACTTAACAATAAGGTTTTATTAGTTAAAATTTATTTTCTATAATCTAAGAAAGAACAATTCTGTATAAGTATTGTCCATTCTTAGTTCACGTTAGTAAATACATAACATTGACTAATGAAACCTTATTGTAACAGGTGACATATTAGTAATAATAATAATAATATATATAAATATAAATATAGTATATATAATTAATAATATATAATATACATTTTTTAAAGATAATATAGACAGTAATATATAATAATATATATAAATAAGCCC